TTCTTCTCTCCCTTCCTATTGCACAAGAAAAACAACAAAAGTTGATCTAACTTTCTAAACTAAAACGAGAAAGAATATAAAATTATAGAAATAGACAGAATAGCGTACACTCAGAAATAATAATAATAATGATAATAATATAATAATATAATAATATAATAATAATAATAATAATTATGATAATGTCTATTTGCAATTGTGATAAGTTTTAGAGAAAATAGTAAACGTAAAAGAAACAAGCGTTAAAAGAAAACAGAAAAATTCTCTTTTTTAAAGACATGATAAGAAAAAAAATACATGCGCAACGTATAGCGGTATCAAACACCATGATTTATCTTGACAACTATTTTTCATTTTGATAGTTTACTAATAACACGTATCAATGCCGCATTTTCTTCTTTTAAACGGGTGTTATCAGCTTTAAGTGAGTCCATTTTCTAAACAAATGAAATATTTGTGCGTAATGAGATGAAGTACAACTAAAACTGTTTGATTGTGCACCATATCATATTAAGGAACACAATTTAACAATACGCCAGGTACATTTTAATTTGCTCGTTTAGAAAAAGTGACTCAATCTCGCTGATGTAAAGTGAAGTCGAACTACTACTTAGTTAATCCTGCATTTGTGTGTTCATTATCTTACTTTCAATTCTTCTTCTAATTCCGATATTTTTCTTTCGTAAGCACGTTTTTCCTACAATTGAACAAAAAACCAATTGAAATAAAACATTTATGGACTACAATTTTTTCATACTCTTTTATCCATAGATGATTCGATATATTGTGATGTTTTTAGTTTTTCAATCATTTGATCTCGATCCAGTATTTCCTGTTCCATACGTTCGAGCTTTTGCTGTAAATCATCGATTTTACGTTTAGCATCTTCGTACAACTAAAATAAGAGAAAAATAGAATGAGTAAGACTAACTAATCGATGTTTCTTGTATGTGTATGACTAGAAATGAACAGAGATATATTCCAATATGATGTCTCGTTTCAGAGATATTTATACAAAATTAAAAAACATACAAGTGCTATTCGATCATTTACGGATCAATAAAGTTACAAAAAAACACATTATCACAACTTTTTCGCTTAACAGTTCTCTATTCTTTTACTTTAGAGGTTGCAGACTTTTTCTTTGTGATAGATTCTGTTGAACGACGGAGAGCTATAGACATACGAGAAAAAGCCTGGATTTATGTGACATACTTTATCAAAAAATGGCTAACAGTGTCATATGGAATTTTCTAATTGTCATCTTATTCTGTACTTTATACAGTATTCTTTGCAACGAATTTATATACTTTTAACAAATATGACGGAATATTAAGAAGATAGATAACGGAACTTGAGAGAATCTTTAAAGCAGAAATACTGAGTTTAATAATCTATTTATACATTAAAAGAAGAGTCTAGTGCATTAGAAGCAGTAGAATAATTTAAACCGATGAAGTAAGCATGCGATTCAAGTAACTAAAGTCTGTCAGTACTATCCATCCTATTCGTAATGAGTAATTGCTTTACGGCTACATCCTACAAAAATTTAATAATAGAAAATAACTTTTTTCAACTTTGAAATAAAGTTTTTTTTGACATACCCTTTTGACAGCAGATGTGTCTGATGGTGCATTTTCTGTATTTTCTTTCAACGGTTGTACGGACGTCTCTTGTAACGTTTGTTTTCTTACACTAAATGGTGACGCCATGCCGTTCATAACATTTGTACGTGTTTCGTTTGTATTTTGAATTTGTTGATTATTGCCAGAAGATAAAACTGGTTTGCGTGATGGATCTTGACTTTGACTACGATTATTTCGATAAGATTGAGATGATGATTGTGTTTGTGTTTGTGTTTGTGATTGTGGAGATGATGGTGTTGTGGGTGATGATGTAACGAGTGCAGCTATTGAAGGTGAATTTTCAAAGCGAGATTTTAAACCACGAGAACCTAACACTCCTGGAGACTGACTGGTGTTCTATAGAGAGAATAAAAAAATAAAGTATTACAACTTTTTTTAAGCAAATCCTATCAGTTGTCTGTGTTTACAAAAATAAAAGGATCGCGGCTATAGACGAAATGTATCATCATTCAATCACAATAAAGTAGAACATATCTACTGTTATACAGTTAAATATACCATTTGCCACTGTATAATATATTTTAGTTATACAGTGGCAAATGATATCAGATATTCTCTAGGAATCACGTGTTCAGCGCATAAAGTAATTAAGGCAATATACAAGCAGTGCGATGAATACCCCATAAATGGTGGAATAAAATAATCTACTATATGAAATTGTTTCAGTTTCGCTTACTTGTTGTGCATTATCTTGTAATTTTTGATCATCAGACCTGTGAGATGGATCCAATATAGGCGTTTTTGGTACATAATCTGTATCATCTCGAATTTCAACTTCTTTTGTTTCCTATAAAGAAACAAAAACAATTTTTTTTATTTATTTAACTGCTATAATTTATTATTCCTTAATCAAGTAAGTACTGAAATTAACATACTTCGTTCCAAACTATTTTTCCCGTTGGTTTACGATTTACCCTATGTCGTCGACGATTCGGGACAAGTTCAGATTGAGCTAAATTAAATGAATCGTTTGCTTGAATCGAAGTTGGTGATGGTTGTTCTATAACAAATATAAAATTAATTTTTTCATAGTGATGAGAAAACTATTCTGACAAGCTCACTATCGAAATATTAGAATAATTTTGTACTATTTTCGAGAGAATAAATTGATAAAGTTTTAAAGCGTTACATTTTACATACCTTCAGCAGCAAATCGTGAACGAAATCTTCTTGAACTATCTACTGAATTATCAAATGGCAAACGAAATTCTTCCTAGAATAATACAAAAATGATTTTCTTATTTATATATACTTTAACACATATTTAAAATATGTTTTCATCACATAAAATACAGCTGATAAGAAGTAGAGCACAAAATATGTGCATATTTTTGTCTTTTCTTTTCCTTTATCCCACAGTAACAAGAGAGCATACATCAAATATACATACACCTCTCCCACATAAATTATGAGACGTATATATAACTGTCAATCAAATGATTTTGTTATTATTTTTTACAAAATAGTTATAACCCACGCACAATGAGACTCTCGAAAGAGAAAATAACGTAACTTTTCATACTGAACATTGTCATCGGTTAGATGAGACAGATCATAGTAAACAGTGTTAATGTGACAAAGGTAAAATAATGCTTTCTAAACAATACTACTATAATAGTAACTAAGAATATTACTATATTTTCTTGTACAAAACTTTTATTTCTCATATTTTACCATTGAACAACTGACTTAGACAAAACTATACTAACTAAACTATTTATTAGTTACTCTTAATTCTATCCTTATAAAATGCAAAAAAAAAACGTTTTAAGATTGATAAAATTTATTATGTTAATAAACTTGTTGTGAGCAAATAATCCATCCTTTACTTATTATAAAAAAAAAATAAAAATATTCTTAGCAAAAAATTATGTTTTGTGAAAGAAGAATCTAACTTTAATACGTGAAATATTTCTGATTGAGTTTAAAAAGTGTCACCATCTACTCGTTTACTTGTTTTAACTTTTAACGTTTTCTAAAAAATGATGATAATATTTTTAGTACTAAAAATCGATAGAGGTGAAAATCGGATCGCGTACAAAAAGATTTTATCGAGAATAATTTGAATACAGAAAATTAGACATATTTATTTCTCTACTAGAGTCTATATATAAAGATAATCCATTGATACATTATGTCTTTAATTATCAAAAAAATACAGTATTATAATAGTAGTAGAAAAAAAACAAACAAGTTATTATCTCTACTTCTTCTCTCCATTTTTGACACAATTCTTTAATACTCAAAAACATATAATACTACGATATGTTATCTGATAGTTAAAGAAGTATACTAGTATAGTAGTCTGTTTGTATAAACAAATAAAATATTCCAAATTTATTATTGATTATGATCATATCATCATTAATCAAATACTAGATTATGCATTATTATTAACAAGAAATCAAGGACAAGTTATTTTCAGATATGATCTCTTTAATTTGAATAATTATGACAGATAAAAGAACTAGAAAAAGATATATCTTTTTACAGTAATGATGAAGAAGAAAAATATATATTCAAGGTGTCGGAAGACATTTATTCGAATTTATCTTTTTGATAGTTGGCCAAGAGATTTGTTGTTTCGAAGAAAGTATTACCAATAATAAAAAGGCTATAGAAGCTATGAGAAGACCAAAAGAACAAACGTGCAAAACAGCATTAATATTCAATATTACTCCAACTGACATCAGAACTAGTAAATGAAGAACAGATTATTGTCACATATATATGCGAGGAGATAATAACAATGATATTTTTTACCTCAAACAATCCATGAAAATACATAATAATAGTCTTAGAGTTGTTCACTCATTCTGTAATACAATAAGGCAAAGAATTAGAGTTTGATTTTACATATGGCTTATAAAAATGTATTCGTAATAAAATAACATTCAAAACAATGTTATCATAAATATTTTTTAGATTTTGCTTTGTTTGTTTGTGTATAACTAGCTGTGCAAAGGATTGTTATGCAAAAATTAGATAGAGGACGATGGCTACTATGATCTATCGTAGTTTAATGCTAAAATAATCTGAAACTCACTATCTTTGAATAAAAAACGACTAAAAATTCTATAATTAGTTTTTGTACGTGCATAGCATATAACTTACTTCTCCACTTGCTCTTCTTGAGCCACGCTGTGATTCTTTACTTTCTTCAATAAATCGTTGTAATTTATGTGTTTCAACATTTTGTCCAAGTACATCTTCACCGCCAGTAGTACTACTACCACCAGAACCAATTATCTGACTTCCAACCACATTAATACTGTTTGTATGTACCACTGCTGGTGTACTATTTAAAACTGATAATTTAGTCGGTTGCTGTTGTTCTTGTTGTTGAATAGCAGCATTTTGTTGATCAGGCGAAGAAGATGTCGGTAATCCTTCACGATTTTTAATTTGTTGTTCAGCTGTTCGAATATCCTCAACTGTAACACTCTAGAAACAAAATGAAAACAAAGTTGTTTATCGTGACTAAATTTATTCTAGTACTAATTCATACTTGTGTCGAACGTCTTTCTCTCCTTGCTTGAGCTGATCGATGTTTACGTTGTGCTTCAGCTTCGTCATCTTTGCTTGGAGGTACATTCGAACGCCTAAAAATAAAAATTACCAATTGATAAAACATACTTTTCATAAAACATGCTCAATTAAAACACAGACAAAAGTATTATATACCGAGTTAAACAAATA